ACAAAAAATTTAAAGAATATGCCCAAAGATGGTGAGATGTCACCACCCAAGTTTAGCCTCCTCTCACCGAGAAAAAATGACTATTCTATTCATCAATACCCTTCGAGCCCTATACTATGATAGGTTTATTGGTCATGCCATGAAAAACTTTACTAATATGATAACTATGGGTGAGATAATAGAAAATGCCATTAAAATGGAAATATCGATAGAGGTGATGTTTCCAGATCAAAGAAAAGAGGACCACCCAAGAGGAAAGAAGTAGAAGTGCAAGCTATCACCACTAAAAAACCAAAACCAAGTCTTTTTATCCCTTACCACTTATATCATGTATACCAACCCTCTTACCTAACCATTTCTAACATTTACTAAAGCCCATACCATTACCAACCAATGTAAACCCGGACACCTACTTTCCAAAACAATGTTTATCCCCAAGCACCTCCATCATGACCTTTCCCTCAATTAAACACCACAGACTTTAATCGGAAAGAACCTCGAAATAATTAAGAGCAACAACAATTTGATCTAATACCTATGACTTACACGAAATTGTCTTCCCATTTATTCTATAAACATTTGGTGGCACGACAACCCATATAGCCTTTAAAACCTTTATCTCCAAAATGGTATGATCTTAAAGCTTCCTATGATTATCATTATGGGATTCACGACCACTCTTTGAAAAATTGTATAGCTTTTAAACATAAGGTGCAAAGCCTAATTGATAACAAAATTTTGAATTTCATAACCAAGGTTGGACCAAGTATGGAGGCCAAATCCATTACCTACTCATGGTGGGGGATCAATAAAATGCTTTAAGATACGAGACAACTCAAAATATTAAAAAAAAAGTAAGAGAGATTAGGATCCCTATAGAAAAAATATTTGCTATCCTAGTGAAAGCTGATATGATTCACCCAATACTTGAAAATTCAGATAATGAAACTTTCACATATAATCTTAATCAAATTTATGAATTCCATATAGGGATGATTGGTCATTTGCTTCAAAATTGTGAAGCATTTAGACAGGAATTGCAAAGGTTGATGGATTCTTTCCTAGTCAAATTTTATGAGGAACATGAAGAAAGTTCAATGAATGTTTTGACAGGGGACTCATCCAAAAGCAGGCCTTAACGAATGAATTTTGAGCCTATTACCATATTCTATGAAGAGAAACTGAGTGTTAAGGTTGATAAGCTAGTTCATATGAATTTTGAGCCTATCATGATCTTTTATAATGAAAAATTGATTGTTAAAATTGATGAACCAATTTTTACAACTATGCCAAAGGTGACAATTAAAGTCCCTAACCCATTTTCATACAAAACTAATAAGGCAAGCCCTTGGAAATATGATTGTAATATCATATCACAAGGTTCAGATAATGGTTCCCTTCAATATGGCTCATGTGATGCAAGCACAGCAAATATAATTGGTGTAGGGGGCATAACTCAAAGTGGACATTACTATGCTTCAAAAGCACTTGAGAAAGCACAAAAAGGAAAAGCAAAGAAAAAAGAGAAAAGTTTCAAAAAAGAAGATAGACTACCCAAAGATCAAGAGAATCATTTGGCCTTTGTCTTAGATTGAAAACATAAGAATTCGATTTTGAAAAAAGAAGCTTGTGAGTTCTTAAAACTTATTAAGCACAGTGAGTATAGTGTAGTGAAGCAATTAAATCGCTTACCAGCTCAAATTTCTATGCTCTCTTTTGTTGCTAAATTTTGAGCCTCATAGAATGCCACGCTCAAAGTACTCAATGAGGTTTATGTAGCTCATAATATATCTGTGGAAAAACTCGATCACATAGTGGAAAATATCATAATAGGAAATTTTATATTGTTTAGTGATGACGAAATTCCATCTAGTGGTAGAGGCGATGCTAAGGTCTTACATATCTCTATAAAATACAAAGATTATACAATAGCTAAGGTGTTTATTAATAATGGATCTTCTTTAAATGTCATGCCTATGACTACACCATCTAGATTTTTAGTTGACATGTCTTACATAAAGATGAGTCACATGATAGTAAGGGCTTTTGATGAGACTCATCGTGAAGTGATAAATGATATTAAGCTGCCAATTCAAAATGACCCATGTATTTTTAATATAGTCTTCCAAGTCATAGATATCACTTATTCCTATAGCTATCTTTTAGGAAGGCCATGGATTCACATAATAGGAGCTATTCCTTTCACTTTCCATCAAAAGGTGAAATTCATAATTGATGAAAAGGTGGTCATTATTGCTAGTGAAGAAGATTTGCTAGTGACTAAACCATATATTACGTTATATGTTGAAGCAGTTGAGGAAGCCCTAAAATGTTCTTTTAAATCATTTGAATTTTTTAATGCAACCTATTTGGGTGAAGGATTAAAAGTGCCTATTTCATGTCTATTCAAAGCTTCCAAGATAAACCTTAAAGAACTGGCATGAAAAAGGCAACAAGTGTGGGCTAACTTGCTAGGGATGCAATGACCGTGGATGATGCTTAAGAGAGATGATCGATTTGGTTAAGGTACAAGCTAACTCGAAAAAAAAGAATGAAGTTCATAAAAAAGAAAAGAGAAAGAAGGTTAGCTCATTTTTTGGGGCAAAATGTAAAAACTAAAAGCCTGTTTTTTCTTCCCCTCCACAAGACTTTCATCCCAACTGGCTATATCTGTTCAGATACAACAAAAAACATAGAAAAGGAATTTACACTATCATTGAAATATATTTTTGTTTAATTTTCAATACGAACAAAGATCCAGGTTGTCCATGGGTGTATTTTACTCCTTGTGGTGCAGAACTGAAGAATTGGCATGTTGAGAAGCTGCCTGTTCTTTTTAAACTTTCGCCAAAGTAATGTATTGAACCTAATCTAAATGCTTTTGCTAAAAGCATTAAATGTCTTATGTGTGTTTTTTTCTTCATTTTGAATTGAATAAATGACAAGCATAGCACATTTGTCCATTTCTTTTACCTCTTTCATTTCAATTCCTTGCATTATTACATCCTTTTACATTTCGTCCATTTTACTTATTTTTAGGTATCCAAATAATGAATGTAAAGATCATCAGGATAATATTTCAAGATTTGATTTTGAAAATTCTATTTATATTGGTGAACTTAATGATGAAAAGAATGTAGAAAACCATGCAATATCTCTAAAATTATTAAGATTATTGAAACAAAAAGAAAAACAAATCATGCATGATCAAGAAGCCACTGAAGTTGTCAATATGAAGGACCAAGAAAATAAAAATGAGGATAAGATTGGTATTTCGATGTCATTACCAATAAAGCATGAGCAGATAGAGTTACTACATAAATATGTAGATGTATTTGCTTGGTCATACCAAGATATACCAAGGCTAAATACTATAATTGTAGTGCATATGCTACCTCTAAAGCCTTAGTGCAATCCAATTAAACAAAAGTTGAGAATGATGAAACCCAAAATGTTGTTGAAAATAAAAGAAGAAGTGAAAAACCAATTTGATGCTGGATTCTTATAAGTGGCCAAATATCTTGAATGGGTGGTGAATATAGTCTGGGTACCCAAGAAAAATGGCAAAGTGAGGATGTGTATTGATTATCGAGATCTAAACAAAGCAAGTCCAAAAGGTAATTTTTCATTACCTCATATTGACACCTTAGTGGACAATACCACAACGCACTCTCTATTTTCATTCATGGATGGGTTTTTAGGCTACAATCAAATTAAGATAGCACAAAAAGATATGGAAAAGACTACTTTTGTGACATTATAGGGAACATTTTACTGTAAAATCATGCCTTTTAGTTTGAAAAATAATGGAGCAACTTATCAAAGAGCCATGGTAACTCTATCCATGATATGATGCACAAAAAAAAATAGAGGTGTAAGTCGATGACATGATTGTCAAATCTTGTGAAGAAGAAAATCATGTGGCTAATCTCAAAAAGTTATTTAAGAGATTAAAAAAGTTTCAGCTTAAGCTAAATCTAGCTAAATGCACTTTTGGTGCAACCTTAAAAAAATTATTAGGATTTATTGTCAGTAAAAGAGGAATCAAAGTGGATCTAGATAAGATATATGCCATCCAAGAGCTATCACCTTTGTGCATGTAAAAAGAAGTAAAGGGATTTTTAAGGAGATTAAATTATAGTGCTCGTTTCATTTTTCAACTTACAGCCAAATGTGACCCCATATTCAAGATTCTTTGAAAACATGGCTCAGAAGAATGGGATGAAGATTGTCAAATGGCATTTGAAAAAGTTAAAGAATATTTATCAAACCCACCAATATTAATGTCACCTGGACAAGCTCTTATCTTGTATTTGACAATACATGAAAATTAATGAGATGTATTTAGGGCAACATGATGAAACAAGTAAGAAAGAACAAGCCATTTACTACCTAAGAAAAAAGATTATTGATTATGAGTCCAAGTATTCACCATTGGAAAAGATGTGTTATGCACTAGCTTGGATAACTTGTCGGTTCAGATAGTACATATTGTATCATACTACTTGGCTTATTATGAAACTAGATCTAATCAAGGATATCTTTGAAAAGCCTTTATTGTCGGGAAGAATAGCAAGATGATAAGTGCTACTTTCTATATATAACATCGTGTATGTGTCTTAGAAGGTAATCAAAGAAAGTGTTATTGCTAAATTTCTTACAGAGTAAGCTCACAAAGATTATGTGCCTGTGACATTCGATTTCATAGATGAAGACTTAATGTTTGTATTGCACATAGATAAAGAAGAGCTTAATGAAGATATATGGAAGATGTATTTTAACGGCATATAAAATGCTTTGGGGTATGGTATAGGAGTAGTTTTGATATCTCCAAAAGGAGATTACTACCCAATCACTGCAAAATTAAGCTTTAATTGCACCAATAATGTAGTAGAATATGAAACTTGTGTTATGGGTCTTCAAGCTACTCTTGAAAGGAAGGCCCATACATTAAAAGTTTATAGAGACTCTACCTTGGTCATACACCAATTGTGAGGAGAATGGAAAGCCAAAGATTCAAAGTTGGTTCTATACCAAAAGTACATATCAAAATTAATAAAAAAATTTAAGAATATTTGGTTTGATCATTTGCCTTATGAAGATAATTAGATGCTGATGCTTTGGCTATATTGGTAGCAATGTTCAAGTTAAATCAAAATGCTAAAATCCAACCCATTAAGTTGAGCTTGCGAGAGAAACTAGCCCACTGTTTAAATGTTGAGAAAGAAGTTAATGGAAAACCATGGTATTTTGATATATTACAACATGTTAAGTATCAACAATACCTAGAGCACATATCAGAGAATGATAAAAGAACTTTGTGAAGACTAGTATTGGGTTTCTTTTTGGATGGAGAAATTTTATTTAAGAGAAGTCGAGACCAAACACCATTAAGATGTGTGAATGTTGCTGAAGCTAAAAAGTTGCTAGAAGAAATCCATAGAGGTATTTGTGAAACTCATGCAAATGGTAACATAATGACTAAGCAAATCACGAGAGCATGATATTATTGGTTGACAATGGAAAAAGATTGCATCGACTATGCTAGAAAATGCCCAAATGTCAAATTTATATAGATAAGATGCAAGTTCCTCCAAAATCCTTGCATGTTATGTCAACACCTTGACCTTTTTCTATGTGGGGAATGGACGTGATAAGGCCTAGTACACTAAAAGCTTCAAATAGACGTCAATTCATCTTAGTGGTAATTGACTACTTCACAAATTGGGTAAAGGCAGCTTCAAATGCTAATGTGACAAGAATGGTGGTTTGCAAGTTCATCAAGAAAGAGATCATATGTCGATATGGCCTTCTAGAAAGGATCATTTCAAATAATGCTCTTAATTTGAATAGTAAAATGATGACTGAGTTCCGTGTTCAATTCAAAATCAAACACCATAAATCAACGCCTTATCATTTAAAGATAAATAAGGTAGTTGAAGTAGCCAATAAGAACATAAAAAAAATAGTTGAAAAGATGACAAATATGCATAAAGATTGGCATGAAAAGCTACCGTTTGCATTACAAGCTTATCAAACTTCGATTGGCACATCTACAAGAGCTATACCATTTTCATTGATATATGGATAGAGGCAATGTTGCCCATTGAAGTTGAAATTCCTTCCTTGTGTGTTCTTATGAAAGTTGAGTTGGAAAAAGCTAAGTGGGTTCACATTCGATACAAATAGTTGAATCTCATTGAAGAAAGGAGACTAACAACACTTTGTCATGGTCAATTGTATTAAAGAAGAATGATGCGAGCTCATGACAAGAAAGTTCACTTATGACAATTTTGAGAGGGAGAATTAGTATTGAAAAAGATTCTTCCTAACCAATAAAATCCTCGAAAAAAATAGACTCTTAATTAGGAAGGCCCTTATATGGTAAAGAAAGCATTTTTTAGTGAGGCACTGATCTTATCAAGAATGGATAGAGATAATCTACCAAATTCAATCAATGTTGAAGTAGTAAAAAAGTACTATGGTTAAAAAAAAGGTAAAACAACAAAATGAACTGAAAAGATATCTAAGTTGAAAACCTGAAAGGCCAACTTAGATTAAAAAAAGTATTTAATTGAGTGGATCAATTTTTAATATGTGCCAAAAGATCTCATTGGTTTTGGGTTAGTGGTCTGCTGTATTTTTGGAAAGTTAAAGGCAACAATCAAGAGTTTTCAAAAAAGAATCCATGATGAATTAGTTCATAATGATCTGAATATTCACTATGTGATTCCTTGTTTTCTTTGTTATAACACAAGAAACACTTCTCTCTTTTATTAAAATAAAATACCTTTTTGTTTATCCTTCCTTTATCCCTCTCATTAAAAAAAGAAATGTACATAGTGTTATAATTGTCATGAAATTCAAAAGATGATAAATGAGTGACAACAATCATGAAAGACACACACATTATTTTGAAAGAGATTTAAAATGATAAGCAAAATAGTAAGGAACAAAGGTCAATATGAAGGAAGGCCTATAAGTCATAAAAGTGGTAGACATTGAATATGAGAAATGTTAAGAGAAATCTTTTTATCAAAACTTAATCAGTTGCTGGAATGTATGGGAATCAATAGAAAAAGAAAGGAAACAAACATTGAAAAATTTTAAGGATTAAAAGAAAATGACACAAAAAAAGAAAAAAACAAAGAAAAGGGATAGTCTTTTTATTTGCATCATAAATGCATTTGCTTCACGATCATCATTCATTGCATGAAATTGTAAAAATATGAAAATGTCATTCATGCACACACCAATGCAATAGATATAAGGGTTTAGGACAATCCAAGACCAACAAAAGAAAAAGTTAAAAGTAGGAAAGATGTGAACCCTTTGTTTAAAAAAATCTTTCAAATACCATTGCCTCTCAAATTTTTAATATTTAAAGTTTTGTTGCCTCTAGTCAGAAGAGCCTTTTAACATTTAAAGTTTGTTGCCTTTGGTTAGAGGAGCCGTTTGAATTTAAAGTTCGTTGCCTTTGATCAAAGAAGTCTTTTAAATTTAGAGTTCCATTGCCTTTGATCAAAAGAGCCATTTAAACTTTCATAGCCTCTAGTCAGAAGAGCTGTTTAATTTAAAAGCCTCTAGTTAGAGGACTTTATCAAAATAAGGCATGATTTGTAAGACCAAAGGGCATAATCTATAAGTCCTCTCATATTTATAATTTAAAGTGTTATTGCCTCTAGTTAAAGAAGTCATTTAAAAGTTCATTGCATCTAGTTAAAAGAGCATTTTGAATTTAGAGTTCATTGCCTCTAGTCAAAAGAGCCTTTTAACATTAAAGTTTTGTTACCTTTGGTCAAAGAAGCCTTTTGAATTTAAAGTTCATTGACTCTAGTCAGAGGAGCCTTTTCACATTTAAAGTTTGTTACCTTTGGTTAGAGAAGCTTTTTGAATTTAAAGTTCATTACTTTTGGTCAGAAAAGCCTTTTGAATTTAAAGTTTTGTTGCCTCTGGTTGAGGAGTCTTTTAACATTTAAAGTTCATTGCCTCTGGTTAGATGAACCTTTTGAATTTAAAGTTCATTACCTCTAGTCGGAGGAGTCTTTTAATATTTAAAGTTTCATTGCTTCTGGTTAAAAGAGCCTTCTGAATTTAAAGTTTCATAGCCTCTATTTAGTGGATCTTTTCAAATTTTCTTTAAAAAAAACTTTATTTTTAATGTTTCATCTTTTTTATGCGTTTGCTCAAACAAAATTGGTGTTTTTTTATCTTTGCTTTATTCCTAATTCTCATAAATAAGCAAAGAAAGGCAATTGTAAGCATCAATTTTGTTTGATATAATTTTGTTTATATTATTATTATTATTATTAAAAAGAAGAAGAAAAAGTCAAAATAAATTTTTTGATTTCAACTCTAGTAGTTGAAATCAAGCTGCCAGAGTGGTACCTTTTTCTCCTTAACATTGTCTACCTTGGCAGCTTGAAATCTAGTGACCAAAAGTCACAGGACAAATCTCTAAAATTTTCCACAAAAAGATCCAAAAAGATCTAGGATTTGAATCCCAGAAGCTTTATAAATAGAGCTAATTTTTACAAAATAAAAGAAGAAAAAAAACAAGGAGAAGACTAGGGGTTCTGCAAAACAAAAACAAAAACAATCATAATTCTTTTTGATAAAAGACCAGCAACAACCATAAAAAAATTTTAAAAAAAAAAAATTCCCTAATAATAAAATTTTTTATCTAGGAGGTTTGAGATTTTTTGTTTTTGAAAAATCTAGTTTTGAGGGAATGTTTAGAAAACAAAAAGGATTAGTTTAGGGTTTTTGGGAATTTTTGAAAAAAATTTTTGGGTCACCAAATTCTGAAAAACTTTGAACTTTTTGGCGACCTTTGAAGTTTTTGACACTAGATTCTAGGAATATCATCAGAATTTGAAAATTTTTAAATTTTTCGACATCGATTGAAGATTGGTGCACAATAGCAACTAGCCAAAATTTGGGTTGCCATAATGGCTGACGAAGCGGTTGGGTTTTCTAAAGAAAGAGGCTCTTAGGGTAAAGAAAAATAGGGGAAAGAAAAAATTAAAAAAATAGAAACAAGCTTTTTTTAGGCACTCTAAAATGACAATGTTTTGGGCGTCTGACTCGCGCCGACCCGCGCAAGACCCGTGCGTCAATCCGTGCGCCAACTCGACCCGACCTATTTGGTAGGTTTTCCCTTTTCTTTTTCTTTTTCTTTTCTATTTTGATTTTGATTTTATTTATTTTGTGTTGATTTTTTTATGATATTATTGTTATTATTATTCTTATTTTGTATTATTACTAGTAATAATTATTTTAGAAATAGAAAAATAAAATAAAAAATAAAACTAAAATAAAATATTGACCTAAAAAATATAATATGCAAAAGAAAATCAATAATAATAACTATTTAAGGAAAATAAAATTTTATTACAACCAAAAATGTTATTTAAATTTCACCAAAGTATTGGGATAATTTTAAAAAAAATTTTTACCAAAAAATAATAATAATTTATAAAAAAGGATAAAAAAATGATAAATTGTTTAAATGAATCTTTTAAATGTAATTTTTAGAGAAAGCTAAAAGAGTTTAGTGTTTTTTTTTTGTTTAATTATTGCAAGTAAAAATAATTTTTCGAATTTCACTATAAAGTTGGAATAATCCAAAATTATTTTTACTAGAACAAAAGTTTATTTAAACAATGTAAAACAATAATAAAAAATAAAAATGAAATAATAATAATAATTGATATTTTGAATAAATCTTTATAAAAAATGTAATTTTTTAAAAAAATTGAAAGAATTTGATTTTTTTTAATACAAGTAAAAGATTAATATTTTTAGATTTTGCTGGTAAGTCGAGATGATTTAAAATTTTTTATAAAATAAAATAATAAAAAATAAACAGTAAATAATAACAACAAAATAATAAAAATAATCACAATAAAAATTAATTAATTAATTAAATCCCTTAATTATCATAAAAAAAATTAATTTTATTTAGGATATCATCAGAAAGTTGAAATGATCCTAAAACTGGTTCAAAACTTTTAGGATTTCATCGAAGAGTATGGATAATCTTAAATTTTGTTTAATAAATTTTGAGAACTCACCAAAAAATCGGGATATTCCTAAAATCATCGTATTTTATAAATAAAATATCTTATAATGAGATTTCAAGAGTTTTGTGGATGATCAATTTTCTCAAAATATTTTCTAAATAAAGATTTTTTATAAATTCTGCTAAAGCATTGGAGAGTTTATAGGATATGAAATAGTAATAATAATATTAATTTCACAACAAAGAATTTTTTTTTTAAAATAAGTTTAAGGAAATTAAATTTAAATATAAAAAAACTACATCGTCAAAATTAAAAGATTACACATATTTAATTGCCACTTTTCTTCGAATGGGTGATGTAAAGCTGCTAATACCTTCCTCACTTGTAACCATACTCCCGGACCTAACCCTAATTTCGTAGACCAAAACTTCTTTTAGTATATCTTAATTAATTTTAAGATTTTTATTAAAAAAATGATA